TGTTTCTTTTAATTAATAATGGAGTAAATAATTCTATAAATGTTATACTTGCCATGTCTTTAGTAACTAATTTACAGTTGCTAATGGGTATCAAAAGATCAAGGACACCAAAATCATGATTTAATCAGAAACCTCATTTAACACATTAGTTGCAATCTAATTACTGACCTCAGAAGCAGGCACTTTTGCTGGAGCTGCCAACAGGAAAACAAAATGTGACTAATTTTCTACTTTCCTCTATTTAAAAAATGAATTAATGAATATAAATATGTCCCAATTTGATATCTTAACAGCTTCCATAACACTTACTTTGGAAACTCTATGCCTGAATAATTGGGCCATTGATTATTTCTGGAACATAAATTAAGCCCTCCAAATCAATCTTATTTGGACTTCAAAATTACAATAAAAAGGTTTCCAGATTACTTTTGGTTTACTTATTTCAAATTATCTCCTTTGATACATCTCTCTCTTTTTTATTATGTTATGTTAATCACCATACATTACATCATTAGTTTTTGATGTAGTGTTCCATGATTCATTGTTTGCATATAACACCCAGTGCTCCATGCAGAACATGCCCTCTTTAATACCCATCACCAGGCTAACCCATCCCCCCACCACCCTTCCCTCTAGAACCCTCAGTTTGTTTCTCAGAGTCCATAGTCTCTCATGGTTCGTCTCCCCCTCCGATTTCCCCTCCTTCATTCTTCCCTTCTTGTTATCTTCTTCTTCTTTTTTTTTTAACATATAATGTATTATTTGTTTCAGAGATACAGGTCTGTGATTCAATAGTCTTACACAATTCACAGCGCTCACCATAGCACATACCCTCCCCAATGTCTATCACCCAGCCACCCCATCACTCCCACCCCCCACCACTCCAGCAACCCTCAGTTTGTTTCCTGAGATTAAGAATTCCTCATATCTGACAAATGAGTCCAGGGGTACAGATATTTCATGATATGAAATTTGTCTTTCTCTGATTGACTTATTTCACTCAGCATAATACCCTCCAGTTCCATCCACGTCATTGCAAATGGCAAGATTTCATTCCTTTTGATGGCTGCATAATATTCCATTGTATATATATACCACATCTTTATCCATTCATCTGTCGATGGACATCTTGGCTCTTTCATATATCTCTCTTTTTTGAAAAGGCTTATTTATTAAGCTTCTGGACTCCACCATTTTTTAATTACTAATCACAGCACATCCAAATATGTCTCACATTCTGCTTTCATAATTTACTAACATAGTTAAAATGTGTGTAGGAATATTTTAAAAGAGTCTATTGGAATTTTTAGTGGTATCCTTTTTTTTAAGAGTGGGAAAAGTCATAAATAGAAAATCTCTTGTGAAAAGTACAAATACAGGTTCACAACTCCTTATCTGCAATTTTGAAATCCTCAAAACAAAACAAAAAACAACTCTGGAAAGTGAAATGTTTTATGTAACTGACTTGGTGGCAAGACTGGACCCAAAGGAACCTAAGGCTTTTTTCTAGGCTCTATGTAATCTATGGCTGTTAATATTCTCTTCTTTACTGCAGAAATGTAAATGTATGTGTGCTCAGGATTGTATCCTGAGCTGGCCCTGGAAGTGTCCTACAATATATGATATATGTACAATATTCCCTTTCCAAAATCTTAAAATTTCTGACCTATGAGATAGATCTGGCCCCAAGGGTTTGGAAAGAGAATTACAGACCTGTCTTAGAAAAGTGTAGGATAGATATGTATATGGCACAAAAATAAGAAATTATTTACCTGACAAATGAGTCTAGGGGTACAGATATTTCATGATATGAAATTTGAGAGGACAGTCAGATAAGCGTCAAGCTGACCTTCATTTAATTAATAAGAAAATTAGGGGGGTGGGAGGTGTTCAGCAACTTGCCCAAAGAACAGTTGGAACCTAGGCAGTCTGGCTTTAGAAATCATGCTTTTATTTTTTTTTAAAGATTTTATTTATTTATTTGACAGAGAGAGAGACAGCGAGAGAGGGAACACAAGCAGGGGGAGTGGGAGAGGGAGAAGCAGGCTCCACGCAGAGCAGGGAGCCCAATGCGGGGCTCGATCCCAAGACCCTGGGATCATGACCTGAGCCGAAGGCAGACGCTTAACGACTGAGCCACCCAGGCACCCCTAGAAATCATGCTTTTAAACCACAAAAATGTTGTTACTGAAGACTTCTTCTGAATGGCCCCACTGTCACAGCAGAGTGAGACTGAGTCTCTGAGCTAAAAGCACCAGGATCTTACGGAAATTCATACCTTTATAGGAAAACCCTAGGCTCCGGCAAAGTGTCACGCTGGCTCATACATGAAATTGGAGGATCCTTTTAAGGGGAAAAATGAACAGCCCCAACGAAATAACTATGGGAACTCTGAGACTGTGGATTTCACCTGTGCAATGGTAGATGGCCACAGTGAACTTCCAAGCAGCTCTTCTGTGCCTCTTTTTTAAAGAGCAGAAGATTCAGGATCACCAGACATTTAAGGAAAATATCAAACATGAAACAGATCAAAATAATCAATAAAAAGGAAACTAAACAGGACAGAAGAAATACAAAAAGTAGAGAAAGTTTAAAAATATATATGTCATTATTACCTTCAGGGATTAAGAGGAGAAACTATATCAATGAAAGCAAAACAGGACACTATAAAATAGGGAGGTGGGTACCCTGGAGGATAAGATAGAGCACCCAGAAATTAAACGTATACTAGCTGATGGGGCGCCTGGGTGGCTCAGTTGGTTAAGCGACTGCCTTCGGCTCAGGTCATGATCCTGGAGTCCCGGGATCGAGTCCCACATCGGGCTCCCTGCTCGGCAGGGAGTCTGCTTCTCCCTCTGACCCTCCTCCCTCTCATGCTCTCTGTCTCTCATTCTCTCTCTCTCAAATAAATAAAATCTTAAAAAAAAAATAAAATAAACGTATACTAGCTGAAAGTTCAACAAAACTTTGGAAGGTAAAGTCAATGAAATTCCCCAGAGAGTAGTTCAAGAAAACAGAGATCAGAAAAATTAGAGAAGTTATCCCGAAGTTCTTTCAGAATAGGCTTCCAGAAAGAGAAACAGATAAAATGGTGGAAATGAAATTATCCATTTATGGCACAGTTTCAAGAACTGAAGAATGAGTCTCCAGACATGAAAAATCCTAAGGGACTGAAAAAATAATTAAAAAAAAAAAAAATCCAAGCACATTATGCAATTTCATAATAGTAGTAGTAAAAAGAAAATGTTAAGAACTTCTGATAATTGTTCAAAAATTTTCTAAGACCTTGGTGGGGGGGGGGTGGGAAAACAACAGACATATGGAAAGATGGGAACTCATGGAAATTCCTTAAACAAAGTAAGTGTAAGAGAAATGAAAGGTAACCATGGTGCCTTGCTTGGCTCAGCAGTAAGCAATGAGTTGGTAATATAAACTGATGACTGATTTAACCAAGGATAAAGTTTGTCTGTGGGATCTAAATTCCCAAATACTGTAAGAGGAGCCAACAGATAATATGTAAATACAAAATTTAAAAAAATAAAAGAATGTAATTGTATTACTGAGAAATAGGAAGAAAGTTACTAAAACAGGGGTGCCTGGGTGGCTCAGTCGGTTAAGTGTCTGATTTCATCTCAGGTCAGGATCTCAGGGTCCTGGGATTGAGCCCGGCATCAGGCTCCAAGGTCAGCAGGGAGTCTGCTGGTCCCTCCTCCTCTGCCCCTCCCCCTGCTCATGCTCACGTGCGCTCTCTCTCTCTCAAATAAATAAATAAAATCTTTAAAAAAAAAAGGTACTAAAACAATGTTTGAAAGAGCTGAAATGGTTACTTCTGGGGACGGGATACCCAAATTAGAAAGTAAAAATTTCTTCATTTTTTCATATCTATAAGATAATCACTATATATACATTCAAAAATTTGAAATTTAAAAATACAGTTTTCTCCTTGCAATCATTCTATTAATACTGGTATTGTTGATATTTGCCTTTTCATTTGTAGTATTATTTTTGAGTTAACCATCTATCATGAACATTTCACCTCAATACACGTGGACCTCTTCACCCTTTTCAGTCACTGTATAGGATTCATTCTCTGGTCTATCATTATTATTTTTTCTTTTTTGTCATTTGGATATTACGGTGTTTCTGATATCTTGCTATCAGCAACAATATATTGGCAAACATTCTTATTACATTATTTGTGCCCACATGTGCTGTCTTTCCTCAGAAAGCATTGCTAGAAATGATACTGCTGGTTGAAAATCTACATCTTTTCACAAAGATTTCTCCATTACTTTCCAAAATGTGAACAAATGTAGACTCCTACAAATCATATTATCTACACATAATGGTAATGTTGACTCTTGCATGCAGTATTTTTTCTTTCTATGATTTTGTTGTGAGAGATAAAACCTTCTGGAGAAAAACATAACATTAACAGAATAGAGGTTTTGCTAGCATTGCTCCTGAATTTAATGAGAATACCATTTGTCATAACTGTTTTCTGAATAGTTTCTTAAAAAAACATTTGGTTTGTTTTTCTCTGTTCTGTTAAGAAAAAAAAATTCCAGTTCTACTTTGTGAATAGTTTTAAGAAAGATAAATGTTAAATTTTATTTACTATTTTGACATTTATCAAGTTGTTTTCAGTTAATGTGTACTCACAGACAGTAAATTCTTTGCTGTTCAAGTTAACAGCAGAATGGTTTTTTAAATTATTATTTTAGAGTGTATCTGAATAATTGTGTTTTGTATAAATACACGGATTTCTAAGATCAGAATCTGAATGATAGGTTAGATTCCCTGAGAGCTTATAACTTTTTCTTATCTACTGAAATACACAAGACGATTTACTTGATTGATTCAGGGAATCATCTTTTTTTTTTTTTTTTACATTATCCTTAAGGAAATTCGCCAAAGAGCATTTGTCATATAGTCACGGATGTGTATTTGAAAGGCTTATGAGCTTTTTCAACAAATGTACTTTTGTTTTCCTTTTTTAGGGGTACAGCAATTGCTGGCATAGTGTTTGGAATTGTATTCATCATGGGGGTCATCGCTGGAATTGCCATATGTATCTGCATGTGTATGAAAAACAACCGCGGGACCCGCGTGGGCGTCATCAGGACCACCCACATCAATGCCATTTCCTCCTATCCTGGTAAGCACAATCGCTCACTCCTTCTGAAGGAAGAGTCAGATTTGTTAGTTACGCTTTACTCCTTGGAGAGAGGAAACATTGAAGACTTTCAATGCAATGATCTCCAAGAATGTAGGGCATTGCTAAATTAATGTAGACTGAAGCTCTAGCTTTCCATGAAGATTACTTAGATCCAAGTAATAAAATCTAGCTCATATTTGAAGGTATTCATATTTTTAATGCTTGTCTTATTGACTACAATTCCCAACCAGCCAGAGTTAAGAGAAATAGACAGTTCACACCCACTTTACCTGCCAAAGTTCTGAGTAGTAATTATAAAGTGTAAGTGACATGTCTTCACAAACTGGCATCTGATTTAATAGGTATGTATGTCTTAAGAAAAAGGATTGAATAAAGTTTTTATGTGTCCTCTGTATGCAAGGAAAACAGTTTTAACATAATATGAACATTCTCAACAAAGAACAAAGGTGATACATTAAGAGTTCAACACGTTATTTGTTGAGAATCTGCTAGAAGTTCTACATATAAATATATTGAATACCTATGACTCCATAAACAAAATACTGCAATTTGCATTAGGTAATTGCTCAGTAGTGCTTTCTAAGACAGTCTGTATATGTACCATTTGACATATAAAAGGAGTCAAGTTTTGAATTTAACACATTCTTAGAAAGATAATTTCCTATCCATAGCCATGTCCTTCCTCAGCCCCTTTAGAGAAGAGTGTCCCTTTTACATGCAATCTGCCCCATGTTTCAATTCCCTAATGACCCTTTCTCTCTTAACTTTTTCCCTATCATCTTCAACTTAAGGGAACAAATTTCAGATGAATGTGAGAATGATCATTTCTCCTGTTCCTCTTTTGTCAGTTCCTCCTCTTCTCCAATATCCTCATTGGAGTGTCTCGAGGATCAGACTTGTGTCTTTTTCTAGACTGTATCTACACTTACTTCTTTGGTTATATCATTTGGCCTCATGGTATTAAGTACTATTTATATGCTAATACCTCCCAAAATTATAAATTTCCATTCCGAACTTCCTTCCTGAATTTCAGATGCATTTGTCCCACTGCGTATTGGACATCTCAGATTGGATGTCTTATAGCTACCTCAAGTTGAACATGTTCAATGCTATACTTCTGATCATCACCCCAAACCTCCACTCACAGCCTTTATCCTCTCAACTGATGGCATCTCTGGACTTCTAGTAGCTCAGGCCAAAACCTTGGAGTCATCTTTGACTCCTCACCTCTGTCAAACCTATGTGCAACATACTAGGAAAACTTCCAGTCCCATCTTCAAAGTATATATGTATCTGACTACTCACAGTCCCCATTGCTCTTTCCCTGGTGGGAGCCACCCTCAGCTCTCACCTGCTTTGCTGTGATAACATCCTAACTGCTCTTCCAGCAGCTACCTTTGGCCCTCAGGGGTCTATTCTAAACCCAGTAGCCAGATTGAGCCTTTTAAAGTAGATGTCAAATTATATCATTCGTCTGTTCAAAATCTTCCAATGGCTTTCCATTTTCTCCAGAGAAGGAAAAAGCCAGTGGTTCCTCATTTTATCCAGAGTAAAAAGCAAATTCCTAACCAGGGCCTGCAAGGCAATGCATGAATTTGCTCCTCTTTTTATTTCTCTGAGTTCATTTTCTTCTCTACTCCCTCTTGCCACTCTGCCTCCAGTCACACACTTTTGTGAACAAGGAAACACACTCCACGTGCTCTGTGAACACAACGGGACACACTCCCATCTTAAGGCTCTGTCTAGAACATGGACTCCCTCACTTAATTCAACTTTTTGATCAAAGATCACCTCCTGAATGAGGCCTGCTCTGTTCTATTTAAGATTGTATTATATCCCAGCCATCAAAAAAAATGAAATCTTGCCATTTGCAACGACATGGATGGAAGTAGACAGTATTATGCTGAGCGAAATAAGTCAGTCAGAGAAAGACATGTATCATATGATTGCACTGATATGAGGAATTCTTAATCTCAGGAAACAAACTGAGGGTTGCTGGAGTGGTGGGTTGTGGGAGGGATGGGGCGGCTGGGTGATAGACATTGGGGAGGGTATGTGCTATGGTGAGCCCTATGAATTGTGTAAGACTGTTGAATCACAGACCTGTACCTCTGAAACAAATCATACATTATATGTTAAAAAAAAAAAAAAGAAGATTAAGTAGGAAGGGAAAATGAAGGGGGGGAATCAGGGGGGGAGATGGTATAAGGAAAAAATAGGGGGAACTATTTTTTATTCTTCACATCTCCCCATTTTTACCTGGTCAACCCATAAGTCAAGAAAACAGAGGAGAGCTGGAGACATTAATTGGAGAGAAGATAACATTCCAGATACACTTTTGCTCAATCAAAAAAAGTTTAGTTAAAATTGAACATTAAACACTTTAAAACATTAAAAAATATTTTTTATAAAATTAGAAGAGAAGATACAAAATATTTTAATGTGAGGGCTTGTGTTTTCCTGGGTTTGAGGTTTCTATTTCATGCATGGAAACATGTTTTTAAAACTTTAGAGTGGCATCATTTATACTGGCAGATCACAGCAGCATGTTACATTTTCAGTAAATGCATTGTTCTGGGAACTGAATAATGTGAGAAACATCATAAACCTTATGGTGGAAGCATTTTTACCACAAAAAAGCTAGATCTTCAGAAAGCATAATGTGCTGATTACTTCTCATTTCCTTCTCAAAGTCACTAATTAAGCTTTTACTTAAAAGATAGGAAAAAACACAGAGCAGGTATTGAATGCTTTTCAAAATCTTTCATCCTTGGAAATATAAAATATTTTTATCCACAATAATTAATTAACTTTGTGATAAATGAGATAACAACTCAATTTATTGTATATTGTAGTAGTCCTTCAGCCTGGGGGCCACATAACATGAGTAGAAAATAATTTAGCCAACGTAATATTCCTTCGTGAAAGTCTTGGTGAAAGTGCTCAGTGGGGATACCTACAGTGAAGATTATTGCTGTGCCCTGGGGAGGAGATTACTGAGAAAATGTGATCTGCTACACCTGATCATTTGTTGGACAGTGATCTTCCAAAATAGTTTTTTATTCCTGTTATGTTGGGTAGAATGAACAGTGTCTTGTTCAAATACAATTATTTAAAAAACTGCTAGTGTGAAAATAAAAATTATTTGTCAAGTCTTATATTTCCAATACTCTTCAGAATTTCAATGTAAACAAAAGAAAGTGATCATGTTAACCCTTTAAAAAAATAGATTTGGATGATACACACTTGAAAGAAAACAATACAGAAAGACTGTAACAGAAGGCTTGGCAAAAATGTAAAAATCAAATGATTTTTAACCAAAATTCCTTTGGTTAAAGGAAAATAAGAGATTTCAATGCTATCAAGAAATTTGTGATCTGAAGTCCATTATTGAGTCCCCTGGTGATTGATAGATGATGGATAGATGATATAGATGATAGATAGATAGATAGATAGATAGATAGATAGATAGATAGATAGATAGATGATAGATAGATGATAGATGATAGATAGATAGATAGATAACAGATGATAGATAGATAGATGATAGATAGATAGATGATAGATAGATGATAGACAGATTTAGGTAAACCATGGAGAAAGAGGGGAGGTTCTGGGGAACAGAAAAATGACAAAGGATACATATTGAAAGGAGTTGTGGAATTGGAAAAATCATCTTTTTAAAACCATCATAAGAAAAGTTTGGGACAAGAGTCATTAATGGGCATTAAATTTGGGGGGAGAGGTTGCAGTGCGGCAGGACATTTGCATGGTCTTAAAGTGTCTTACCCCCAGATTTGTTGCTAGTTATAAAGAGAAAAATAGTAACTACATAGTGGAGAAACCAGACAACACCTTGACCAGGGGGTAAAGATTAACATCACCAAAAAAGGACAGATGGACATCTTGCACCTTTGGGTGTTAATTACTCTGAGGATGATACAACTTCATGTGTGTAGGATTCTGGCTGAAAGTTCACAGCCTGAATCTAAACATGAGAAAAGATCTGACAAACCCAGGTTAAGGAACATTCTATAAAATAACTGACTTGTAGTCTTTAAAATCTTTGGAAATATTTCATTAAGAAATCAAAACTCTAGAGGCACCTGGGTGGCTTAGTCAGTTGAGCATTCAACTCTTGGTTTTGGCTCTGGTCATGATCTCATGGATCATGGAGCCGAGCCCCGAATAGTGCTCCATGCTCACCCGGGAGTCTGGTTGCAGATTCTCTCTGCCCCTCCCCCCCACTCATGCACATGTGCACGATTTCTTTCTTTTTCTCTCTCTCTCTAAGATAAATAATTTTAAAAAAAGAAATAAAAACTTTATTTGCATCATTGAATTCACAAATGAGGGCTGCCTTATTAGTATATGTACTGAACATGTGAAGACTTTCATGTACTCATCAAAGGATTTGGTGATATGAGGATATTCTCTTCTGATTGTGCCTATATTCTTACTGAAATTAGAAGCAAGTCTTATCCTGAAAGTGAGGTAAGGAGATGCTTGTAGATAAGGAATCTCAGAGAATGGAGGGGTGGTGAAATACCTACAGGAATGCATAATTTCCAAGCAATGCCAAGAGTCTCCACACTTAAGAATATAGTCTTTCATTGAAAATGAGATCAGTCAGTATGATTGTGCATTTTTCTCTAGCCACATGAAGCTCCTAGATACAAGTCTGGGAGAGCCAAAACATTGAATTTAATCAAGATTGGAGTTTTGTCAGGAAAGGGGGAGAAAAGGAGATAAGAAAGTTGATGATAAATGCACAGAAATAATTTTAGTGATGGACCATAAATCTAAGCTGAATAAAGAAAGACATGAAGACAGGAAAGAGGTGACATTGGTTTAAATTAACTTTTTTAAATGTCATCAGTAAAACTGGAAATCTAGGTGAGATTCAAGATACATTGGAATGTGTATTCTAGAAAGATAAAGAGTAGTGGTCAGATTTACATAGGTACAAGGGTGAGAAA